TTTAAATATTATACAATACAATGAGTGTGAGAAAACACAGCCTGGGATTGTAGTTGGATTTCAGGTATGTTTTATAAATGCTTCCTTTAATTTTACATTTTGTTTCAGAAAAATAAGCAAAGCAACACTAGGATAAACCCTGCTTCCACTTCCATCAGTAGGAATTGAGTTTCTTCAACAGAATTGCTATTGATTCACATTCATGCAGCTGAGATTAGGATCTGTCCTAATGCCTGGAGTTCTCTCTCTTGGTTTTTGAAATGAAATGTTTTCTGAACACAGAGAACAAATACATACTTTTTGTGCAGACAACTTAAATTTTAGATTTAGAAAAAGTGAACTTAAAAGTAAAGCCCTCTTCAGAGCACAGAGTGCATGTGGCTGTTCATGTATGTGTACAACTTAACTGCTGTTCATGTATGTGTGCACTCTAGCTGCTCATCTTACAAAGTCACTGCCAACCCCATTTCACTTTCTTCCTACCTGGTCTGCTACATAAAGACAGACACCTTCAAAATGTAATGGCATTGAATGGAGAAAGCAAAGGTGTGAGAATTTACACACACGACAGGCTCTGCTTCTCTTTGAATGAAGGGAAACAAAAGTTAAAACATACCTGCTAAACTGTAGCACCTCAGACCTGTTCTGAGGTCCTTTCAGAGGAAAGAAACAGGTTTTGAAGGAGTTGAATGCAGAAGCTGAGGACAGCTTAAGACCTGCTTCTCTCAGATTATAGTTGCTCTCAGGGCTGTAATGTTTGAATTGGCAGTATCTATTCAGTGTTTAAGTGAAATATATCTGGATTTTTGGGGCTGGAAGAGCTTGAAAAGAAGGTGTCTATAACTCCTCTGTCACAGATAAAGAATCTAGTTTACAGAAAGGTAAAATAAAAGGTTGCCCAAAGTGAACCAATACATCAGGGCAAGCAATAAATTGCCAATCTCCTGATCAGGCTGTAGATTAGCTCTCATGTCCTTTAATAATGTTGAAAATGTTTTGTAATTGCACATAGAACAAGCTGTTGCCAGGAGTCTGTGTAGAGTAGACAGGTCAAGGAGAAGCCTTTCACATTTTTTTTTCAGTTTTTTGTGCTTTTTTTTTTCTTTTAACTTATCTACTACTGTTCCATTATGTGATCATAATTATATTTCTAAATTCTTTGAGGCTTAATGGCAGAAGTTTATCTCCAGAAGTATATAAGGAATGAAGTGGTAATGTGGCTTTTGAGGGCAGCAATTTTATGGGACCAATCAGCACAAGACAAATACTTGAAAAAACATTAAAAATCCTTTTTGGCACAGTAGCCTTAAAAAAAGAAGAGAAAAAGTAAGATAGATTGAATGCTGAGTTCACTTCATTATTTATAAATAAAATGGTTCTCAGTTTTCCAAGACATAGTGCCAGCACTTGATGTCACTTTGAGGTTTCAAAAACATTAATTCATGGTTGCTTTTTCATGGAAAGTTTTTGGGGCACTCACTGAATACCAATACAGTGAGGAAAAAAACTGCACTGTCTGTTAAATTTCTCTTGAACCCTTTTGGACCACATAACTTGTTTATTTTGTGTGGCTCTGCACTCACCTCTTCCCTTGCTGTATAGTTAGAAAAGTTAGCTGTATAGGATTATTTTTGCCTATAGCTACAAAATAAATTTTATAGGTAGTGGCTCAAATGTAAAATCTTTCTTTTTCATATATTTACTGGTCTAGTTAATACCTTTTTTGGCTATGGAAAAAAAATCCACCAGCTGAATGTGTGGGGAAAGGAATGAAAGGCTATGTCCATCATGAAGTGTAAAACCATAATGGTAAAGTTTGTTTTTCAGATTTAGAACGAAGGTAGGCCTTGGTAAAAGCTGTTTTTAATGAAGTGGTGTAGTGCAAGAAACTGGAATTGAAGAGATGTGGAAAATAGTGGATTTGCCCCTTGTGTCCATGGTCACTGTTCTTTGCTGTAGGATTTTCTCTGTGCTTTGCTTTATTTTTTTTTTTTTTTTTTTTTTTTCATCTGCCAGGAATGCATAAACTCATTGTTAGTTTTTTCATAGTGTCTGGTGCCCTGGAGATTTAAAATATCATAAATAAACTGTCTCTTGGGGTCTGTGTGTGCAGTTTGGCTTCAGTAGCCCTACTTTTCACCTATTGTGTTGTGTTTTATTCTGGTAATTGGAACAAAACCATTTTCATACCAAGTTCCTATTTAGTCCAAATAAGAGTCTCAGAAGTTGTAATTCTGCAAAAGTCTAGTTAAAGAGTCACAGAGACCTCTGCTCAGGAGTGATCTGAAGACAGCTGGAATGGACTGTCCACAAGAACCATGTTTTTAATTTAAGACAAATTTTTGCACTTGTTAATTGCAACAAAGCATTACACTGCTTTTAGGAGGGTTGTCTTCTCTGGCTCTGGGAGAGGATGCCTCTTGGCATGGGGAAGGCATCAGTTTGCTCATTTCCCTCTTCTCTCCATCAGACTAAAGGCCACTGGCATTTTGCAGTCCTCTGCTTCCAGAATCTTATCTCTTTCCCAGTTTGCCCTCTTATCACTAGCTCTTTAAATAGGTCTTTTCCTTCAAGCCCTGGGAAAAGTAATGGTGAAAGGTGCTATCTCCTTTTCCTCCGAGGAGAAATCGGAAACATTTTCTCATTCTGTAGAGATTAATTGAACTTCCCACCATCCTTTTCCCCACCTGCAAGTTTTTACCTTTGCCTCATTAAGCCCTTGAAGGTATGCAGCTTTCACTCTGCCAAATGTCTTTTAATTCCTTCCTCTTCTGTGGTGGTGATTCTAATCTGTTGCATTAGAAAAGGTGCAGGTCTTCATCTTACCTACTCATGCTATACCTTCACCAAGGTGGTCTCTTCTTAGAGCAGGCACAGTTTGCCAAAGAAACTTGATGTATTGATGGCAATTAAAGAGCAATATGAGAAGTCATCCAGGAGGCTGATTGCAAGGCAATGTCTTGTAAAATCTCAATATCAGTAGCCAGGTTACCTGGTCACTATATGTTATTTGAGTCTTTGAGAAAAAATTACTCATGTGTTCTTTGGTAATTGCTATGCAGGTAAAGATAATTATACGGTTACAAGCAAAAGATTCACTAAACAGTGTTGGGAGATCACTTACTTCATATGTCAAAATGGTAAAGCTGTGCCAGCAATGCTTTTATCTGAAATAAATCTTTGTTGACTGAAACTTCACTTATTTTTGGGCTAGCATAAGAGAAGAAACATTGGTTGTTTCCAAATGGCATCTGATTTCAGGCATCTGCTGGGAGCAGCAATACATTTACCTCACAGTCCAGTGAAAAGAGAAGGATGATATGAATATCTTGAAGAAAAGTCCCTTCACAGAATAACACTATGAATGCACATGAAACTTTATATCCAGCATATATTTAGCACAGTATAAAATGTACTGTTTTAATGAGAGAAAAACCAAAATGCTTACTGTTTCAGTGCTAAGTTTCAAGTAGTTAAACCACTGTTCATGACCTTTTCAGCTACAGGATTGTTTTCTTTCCTTTCATAAAACAATGTTGTAGTCTGACATCAGGAAACTTGGTGTTAGGAAGAAAATGCAAAAAAAAAAAAAGAGTATTGAAGAAACAAGGAATTTGTGATGAGTACTTTGGTATGAATAAGCTTTGAAATGTAAAGTAAAGCAGGAATCAGAAAGACCTCTCTGAGAAATTGAAACATGGTGAAACATTCAGAAAAAGATGTTTTGATACCAGGAGACAGGAATAAATTCAGGAGAGGAATCCAAGGTGGCCATCAAGTACAAGAGGAGAAATTTCTTTCTTATTGCTGAGATTTGCTAATGTGAATGCAGTAAAGTTAGCATAACAACCCTGAAGAATGTGATCCTCTGCCCTCTAAGCTGAGATGTGAAGTAGTAAATGGAGCAGAATTGTCCTGTGACCCTTTATTACACCTCATCTTTTGTCAAGGAAGATATATTTTCATAGAAGATGGCCATCTACTCTTTGTTGTTGTTTCAATTTTATAGTATGGATAGCTAGCAAATGCATTGGCTTCCTATATGATACATTTTAGTTCTGCCTGTCGGTACCAGTTTAGGATATGTGCAGTGCACATAATATGCCTTCATAATTGTTGACACCAGCATACTGTGCCTCTCCTTACTGAGTGAAGATGCATTCCTCTTAACTGTATCATGATGAGAATTTCTGTCACTGTTTAAATCAGTAGTATTAAATGCATATATCTAATCAAAGTATGCTCTGGGTGTGTATTTTGCAACCTAAAGTCATTAAATATGGTCATTACTTGGAATCACCCAAGGAGACATGCAGAAGGAAGTGTTGTGGCTACTATAACAGGTTTTGCCTGCTCTTCCCTTTCAGTCAGTGGCTGTTGCAAAGTTTTGGGAAAACACTGCTTTATTGGTAAGGCACTGCTTGGTGTGTGATGGAGAAAAATAAGATGGCCTGCTCCTATCTTTTAGGTAGCTTCCCTCCAGATTTCTACGTCAGCTAATGACACTTCTGCTCCCTTCCAGTTCCATTCATCTTCTAACTGCATTCTTCCTGCTGGATGCCACAATTATTTTTTTGGGAGTGAAGACTGTTTGTTCCCCAAGAAGAATAACAGAACAAAACAGGTGTTGAGATAACAGCCTGTCTGTGGCTGCATTTTATATAACAAATGACTAGTAATAATCAGTAGACATGTTGCTCAAATAACTCTTTATCCACATCTCCTGATTTTTGTTTCCTGGTTTCTCGCCTGTCTTCTGTGGTGTTTTACGGGAACAAATGAGTCACTGTCTTCAGGTGAATGCTGTAAAGAACAGTGTGAAAGGAAATGTTTGCGCTGAAGCAGAATCAATGAAATGTGTCCTGACGAAGCTCAAGATGAGACTTCTATGTATTCCCCAGTGCCATCTACCGGCAGAACTGCCCGCTGGAGACTTAGAGGCCAGAACATTCTGCTAAGTGGCAGCAATTTTAAAACATTTGTTCATTTTCTTCTTTCAGGAGCAAGGCAAGATCGGTGTAGTCTTCAATATTGGCACAGTGGACATCTCTATTAAAGAGGAAAGCACACCTGTAAATGATGGCAAATACCACGTAGTACGCTTTACCAGGAACGGTGGCAATGCAACACTTCAGGTCGACAGCTGGCCAGTGAATGAGCACTACCCCACAGGTACATATATTTTTCTTTTTGTTTTTCTCTTTCAGTGTATCTGTACCTATAACCTAATGTTTAATAACAACTGGTTGATATATAAATCTTTGTTGCTTCATCTCGACAATAAATTCACGAGCCTGGTGATGCATATGTTATCTCTGGTCCTTTACGCTGGAAGAATTAGCATGCCAACTGTGTGGTATGATGTCCATAGATCATGTTATTTCAGAGGTCTCTCAGTGAATCCTGGTTCTACAAAGCCATTCAATGACAAACTTGGTTTTGCTACTTGTGATATTTTCTAAATATTTAAGGTAGAAAAGTTCTGAACAGACTTTATGAAAAGGAGCAGTGACTCTAGCCAAACCCCAGATACTGTCTATATAAATATAGAGTAGTAATTTAAGGAATATGGAGGATTGAGGAAGTATTTGAGCAGACCTTATGCTTGCCTCATATTTTTTATCTGAATTTCACTTTCTCTCTTAGGCTTGCAGATACAAAGGGTAACACATCATATAACCAAAACTGACAACTCCTAGCTGACTTTCTGTCAAAATACAGTGGAAAAAAATCAGTATCTTGGGAAATTATCACCCTAAATCCACAAGAAATAGTGAATAACTGGCTCTTGATAGACTGTCAGATGTTTTATCCCACCACTGGCAAATCACAATGTCATGATACTTTGCCACCATGCTGAAAGATCAAACTTACTCCAAGTGAAAAACAGATTGCTTTTTGTGCTGCTGACAGTGTGTTAGATAGCTGAGGTGTGATGATGTGTATGGTTATAAAAGGAAAACTGAACACAAGGAAAGAACTCCAGTGTTAACCACATTCCTCTTATTCATCTGTTGCCTAAGGTCAAGCCATGATCATCTTGGTTTTCAATACCGAGTCTAAGAAACATTCAGTTCTTAATTTCTTGGTTGTACAGTAGTAACTCAGGAAGAATGCTTGATAGTGGTGTAGGAATTGTTCAAAAGAAACTTAAATTCTAGGAAATATCCTAACATGAGGTTATATACTAATTTATGTGACATTGTACTAATAAATTACTCCAAAGTGATGACTTCATCTCTTCTACTCCCTCAGGAAACACACAGGAACATTTTAAAGTGTGAGTCATCTGTACTATATTGCTCTCTACTACATATGTCCCCTTGTCAGTGTTTTGTGAGGTGTATGCAAAAGGATACATTTCAATTATTAACCTTATTTCTGTGAAAAAATTCTTTTTGGAGAATGCTACGGCAGATATGCTGTGTTAGGTTCTAGCTCTGCTATCCATTGGATTGAGAGGAAAGGTCCAACTGAAGATCTTTTTTCTGCTCCTTTCATCAATTATTTTGTAAAATACCTCCAATCCAGCTGGCAGCCAATTACAGTCACTACAAATCCTATGAATAAATTTTCTTCTTATATTGCTTGTTGTAGTAATTCTCTGGTGTAAATAAACAAAATATTCAGCTCAGTGCTTTAGAGATTTTTTTTTTTAAGGGAAAATAAATCACACTCAGGGACTACCTCAGTACCCTGGGCTTCTGCCTTGGCTAAAGATATTTCTGTGTTTTCATTAGAAGATGTATGGTTTTATGGAATCAGCATTAATCTTATGTTCTGGGCTAGTATTGAGTGTGTGTAGTTGTACCCTAAGAAGAAAGGACACCTTTATCTTCCAAACACCTTTTCCTTTCTGTCCACATATTTCAATTTTTGTCTGTAGAGGATGAATTTTTCAGCCTGTCCCTGTGAAAATAAGGCTTATGGAGCCACACTTCATGTGTGCAGGTTTCTCCCTTATTTGTTTCCTACTTCTTTCAAACCAATATTTTAGCCAAACTTAAAAAAAAAAAATACTCAAAAATCAAAAAAAACCAGAAGATATTACATTGCTGTGGGAAAAACCCAAGCAAACCAACAAACAAACAAACAAAAAAAAAAGCCAAGAGAGTAGGGCAATGCTCCAGCCTTCCAAAAGAAAAGGACTGTGGCTTAATATTAAATACCAGAATATCCATACAATATAGTGGCATTATGAATGCCTAAGATTCAGAAAAGATTCAATGAACCAATTATTACAGGAAACCAATACTTATTAGTCCCATTTTTTGTGCAATCAATGGTTTAAAAAACAGACTGACCAGGAGCTTTTAAAATTAATTGTCTGTCTTTCACTAACCAAACTTACACTATTGTGTTTTGCTCTGACTGCAAGACCAAACCTGTGTTCAGCAGAAATTCAGTTCTGTAAAGGCTTTGTGGTTGGATGGACCCAGGCTAATCCAGTGTGTTTCAACTGAAACCTGCTGAAAACTTAAATTCCTATCAAACTTGAGTGATAGTAGTTGACTAATCCCCTGTGTTTTGCATAGCATCATGTCAATTCTGGAAACACAGTTATTTGTAGTGTTTAGAAAACATTGTATTTGTAGACCATGCTTGCTTGGACACACTGCATTGGCTATAAAATGAACAATTTCATGTGTGCTTGATTTTCCACACAGTACCATACCCTAATGTTTACAAATTTGATAAACTATCTAATGTACCTTCTTTGTCATCACACATAGTGCAATCTTCAGTCAGGGCTGCATTCTGAATGGCATTTCCGTGTTCCTCACCGAGTTATATTGCTTGTGGAAGGATTATACATTAGACCCATAATTACTTGCTCAATGAAAAGTACAAATAAAAGTTGGATATTCATTGAATGAGCAAAGTGAGAGAATATTGGCTTTCTTTAAAATACAGTCTTTAGTCAAATTGAAATTAACTGAAACTAGCCCAATGGGACCAAAACGCTCCAAAGCTGTATTTTTACAACTTCAAATAAAAGACAAGGAAAATAGAATGTCAGCAAACTTACAACTCAAGCACAGACATTATGGGTTTTAAGGCATCCAATTGCATTCCAGCCACCTGCAACACAAGCTTTGCACTTTCTTGTAAGGAAAAGGGTTACAGAAAAATGGTAAAGGAGAGAATTAACTTGGATCTAAAGTTGTCTTTGTGACTGAAATAATCCAAATTACTAGGGATGATCTCTCATCTTTAGTACCATTTCAAAGTACCAGACTTTCTTTTACTGGACAGTAAGACAGAGCAGTGGCCCAGTATAGGTATCTGAGACAAAGCTCCTGAGAACTGGGAGATGTCAAAGAAGTGGCATTAGCACAGAGGCTGCTGTCTGCAATTCAGCTGTTGTGGTTCAGCCAAAACCATTGGGCTGTTTGTGATTTATTTGCATTAGTTTTGCCCTCCCTCCTCTCTCTCAAGAATAGAATAAGGAGATGGGCTTTTTCCATTGGCTGTACTGATAGCAAATTTCTTCATACTTGATTCATTAAATTGATTATCACAATGTGATATCATTTTTCACAGTCAGGGTATAAAGCTTTTGCTGTAGTCTAAAGTACTGTTTTCTATGGCTGCCTCCCTTCTGTTGTCTCTCATGATTTCATCCTTTTAAGTATCTCCCAGAAAACAGGTTGTGCTTGGTCATTGTTATTTTCCTGCTTTTATGTTCCTGGGGAGAGCCTTCTCTATATTGAAATACATTGTTTAATGATGAAACAGCTTACAGAAATTTTCAGAATAGTTAGAAATCAATCTTCAGTTTTTACACATAACTGGGATACCTAAGTCCCTAAGTTTTCATTATTTCTTAAGCAGGACGGTTTCTTTTAGTTTGTTCACTGTCTTTCCCTGTAAAGAAATACTTTGTGTGATGCCAGATTTGTAGTGTATGTCAAAACAAGCCTGATATTCCTGTTCATTCATCCAGGCACCAACTACATTTTCTGCAGTGGGAAAAAAAAAACAAAAACAAAAACAACAAAACTAGGCGAAGAGAAGCTGTAAAATAAGAGTATCCATGATAAAAAAAATAAAATCTTATGAAAGTAATACTTTAAAGGAGAGTATTAAAGGAAAGAAAGCAACAGGTAGGAAGGAGCTGTCATTTAAAGAAATGCATGATCCAGCAAGACAAGTGTAGCCTGGATTTTTTAATGCATTTTAGAAACAAGAAATAAGACAATATTAAACAACTGGATTATTATCAGGGTTCATTACTTCATCCATACAGTACATATTTTATGTTTTTCCCCTTTATCATTCTTGAGTTATCTCTCAGTCTTTTTGTAGTAGTCTTTGCACTTTCAAAAAAAAAAAAAACCTTTGCAGGTTTTTTGCTATGGATAAAAGAAAAAAATATTTCATCCTCTATGCTCCTACTTCATTTGGTCTCTGAAGTACATTTCTGAGAGGAAATTGTATTTCTGGAAAAGCTGAACAGTTAGCTCTTGGCAGCAGAACTGACTGCTCTGGCCAGATAAGTGCATACCTATAAAACAGGTACCAGGAGACCCTGGTATCTGTGCTGGGATTTTCTTTCAGAGTAGTTCCAAGGATTTCCAGTTCCAAGGATTGAATGTTCCTGAACTGTTGGGCATATCTTCTTTCAATTTCATTTGAAAGCAATCCACCTTGAACTACATCTTTGTTAGTCTATGTGGGAAAAAGGCTTTGTCTAAAACAATAAGCTTTTTAGAAACAGGTCAGCATGACAGTACTTTAGATTCTCCTACCTATCTAAAATGTGAAAGGCATCAACCTTGCCTTGCTAAAATGTATTTCTTTATTTGCTTGGTGGAAAGATCTGAAGTAGCTTGATTTGTGCCATACACTTTATGTAAGATAGGGAGGAAAACTGAGCGAGTTCTTACTTGCTTCTTTGAATATTTTTTCCAGCTAACTGAAGGAATACTGAAGGGTGCTAGCAGCAGGATCCCCTCTCAATTATCTAAAAAGGGTCTTGGTGTCTGGGGAGGTCCCTTGTGCTGACTGGAACCTAGCCACTGCTATTCCAGGCTATAAGAAGGGTGTGAGAAAAGATACCAGGAGCAACAGACCTGTTAGTCTAAACTCAGATCCTGGAAAAATTATGACAATTATACTGTATGCTATTGAAAGGCTTTTAAAGAATAATGCAGTCATAAAGCACACTC